ATATAGTTTATATAATAAATCTTTATAAATTATATAAAATATATAAAACGAATATTCGAATCTTTGCCTGTTATCATACCACATAAATCCTATTATGTAAAATCTTAGAAAAAAGTTATACATATATTATAATATATATAAAGAATGTAGAAATGTGTGTATGAATTAAAATATTTAAAATATTTTACACAACACAAAATAAGATTATCATTTAAAAGTATTACTGATTTTTATATGTAATTACAGGATAGCTCCAGTCTCAAAATTAACGAATCTTCCGACAAACGAAGCGTGAAAACATACGGCTCGAAGCTCGACACCACCGGCAGTCCATCTCGATCTAGAAGTTCGACCAAAGAACTCATCCGTAAGCATATCGTTTTATCATGTCATTATTTTAATGAATAATTTTACGAATATTTAGTGTATTCTTAATTTTATTGTCGTATGAATGTTAAAGTACCCTCGGATGACTCGATGAGATCGCCGCAGTTTACACAGAAGCTTAAAAACCTCACGGTCAACGACGGCGAACAACTGGAGCTCAAAGTCAAAGTTGAGGGCGACCCGGAACCGCAAATCACTTGGAGTAAAGACGGCAAGGTAGACATAAGTTCAAAATCAACTCTCGCGATAATTAAAATAAAATCTTACCATATATTACTTGCCAGTAAAATATTATAAAATAAATTTATGGACACAGAATTATGCGAATTAATCGTAATGATCAATATAAAAATGTTAATAATTATCTAAAGAAATCGCGTTAAAAAATCACGTAAATGAAAAAATTAATTCTTATTAGCAATCACGTTTATTTACGCGATTCTCTTATAGCTGCTAAGCTCGTCGGAGGTCATCGATCTCAAATACAAGAATGGAGTAGCTGTTCTCACAATCAACGAAGTATTCCCCGAGGATGAAGGCGAATACACGTGCCTCGCGACCAACAGCATCGGTAGTGACACGACATCTTGCAAACTGACCATAAAAGGTAAGAATATCCAAAACTTTTATCAATATTAATTCAATATGATTTAAAGTTTGATATTTAGATTTAATTGTGCTTAAATTTTGCACATATGTTTTTATTTCCTTTTATTTTATCTTATTTTATTTAATCGGAAGATAGATTTATGAGAACAAATGCTCTTCCATCTTCAAATTCAAGCGGAAGAGGTACGATATGAAACTTATGTTACACTTTGCCCTTTCACAGCCGGGGAAAATGCAGCTGGAAAGAAGACGAGCGACGACAAATCGCCGAAAATCGTGGACCACCTGTCGAGCAAGTACGTGAAGGATGGCGAAGCGGTGACACTTAGCTGCCGAATAATCGGTGCCAAGAAGTTCGACGTGGTGTGGCTGCACAACAATAAAGAGATCAAGCCTAGCAAGGACTTCCAGTATACTAACGAGGCTAACATCTACAAGCTAGTCATCGCCGAAATATTCCCCGAGGACTCCGGCACTTACACGTGCGAAGCTTTCAATGATGCAGGAGAGAGCTACTCGTCGTGCACGTTAAACGTACTCGGTAAGTTTTAATCGGTTGTTATCAGCTATGCGAGCATGCGAAGATAAGCGATCTTAATTTTCGTCCAATTTTTATCTATTGAAAATTATCAATTGATAAAAAAAAATAACTTTATATTCTAATCTAAAAAAACCACACTCGAAGAAATTATGACCACTAATAAGTAACTGTCTAAGATAAAGCTTTCATAGAAGAACTACAAAAAAGAGCTCGATAGAAAATGATTGATCATCCAGTCAATTTCCTAAGATAATGATAGAAATTTAATTCCCTGTCGCGTGCATTTCCAGCTCAAAATGAAGAGCCGAAGAGCCCAGCGTTCGCGACATTCCCGCAGTCTGCAACAGTGAGCGAAGGCGAGTCGGTGACTTTCACGTGCAAGACTGATACCGTGCCTTTGAAAGGTAAAACTGTTTCCGACAATTTACACAATCGTTTTACGGAGTTTAAATATATCGTATCGATATCAATTACTCTCTCTTTTAGAGCAGCAATTAAATACTAATAAATGCGAATTTTCCAGTAACCTGGCTGAAGGACGGCAAGGCAATCCCCGAGACCAGCAGCAGATACCACTTCAGCTCGGATGGCAACACGTCCTTCGAATTCGGCATGAAGACCTGCACGGCCAACGACGTTGGTCAATATTCAGCACGTGCGATCGGACAAAAGGGCGAAACAAACTCGGCGTTCGCCCTTAATGTCGTCAACCCCGGCGAGCTGTGATCTTAGTACCGGGATGATTGTCCATCGCAAGCCGCGAATCGGAGAGTATCTACTCCAGTATATTCTTCGCGGAGAAAACACCGGAGATCGATTCACAGATATAAGAGCGCATGTATTTCTTTTTTTTTTGGGGGGGGGGGGGG